GAAGAAGAAGAAGAAGAAGAAGAAGAAGAAGAAGAAGAAGAAGAAGAAGAAGAAGAAGAAGAAGAAGAAGAAGAAGAAGAAGAAGAAGAAGAAGAAGAAGAAGAAAATTAATAAAGAGAGTGAAACCTTAATTTGCGCCATTGATCTTTTTACCTATGTTTGAGTTGACTTGTAATCCCTTGGTTTTGTCGAGTATTTATATTGGGGGACCTGTAGTACACGTGTTGCATGGGTAGTTCTGTAAAAAGTTGGCTTGTGACGAGTCGACCATGTGTGGAAGAATATTGGGTGCTTGTTATTTTGTCTGACTAGAGATGGAGGGAAACATAATTTCAAATTGAATTTTGATTATAAAAATCCCAGGGTAAAATGTGTTTGACACATTTTCAGACATGATAAAAGAATAAATAAATTTATCTTTTCGAAATGTTAGCGAGATTGTTTGCTTGATGACAAGCAAAAGGCTATGTTTGGGGGAGGTGTCTTGTATGTTTTTATTGTTATTTATGTGTTTTTAAATTTTCACAGACACGGCTGTTCAATAGCCTCTCGAGCCCCAACCCCCGATTCTTCTTCCTCGGCCCTGAAACTTTCGGCGGGTTTGTACGATTTCTAAACTCCGGTGACGAGATCGGGCTAGATCAGTCGTGTTTCTTTCTCCTGGCAGAGAAGCTTCAGGAACAAATAATCGTCTTCTGTTAGTTGCATTTTTGTTCTTATTTTTGTGTGTCTTATGTGCTTTTGTCGGGTCATTTTAGGTTAGTTTTAGAATTGACCGGTCTATTTTATCGTGTTCTGCGTATTTTTGTTCTTGTTGTGCGTTTTATGATTTGCCATTTTTTGTCCTTTTTGGTGTTCTTTAGTTCCATATAGCGAAGCTTAGGAAGACGAGCCATTGAGGAGTCATTGTTGAGCCATCCCGAGAGTCGTCCGAAACATGGTCGAGCCATCCGAGCCATTTTCGAGCTGTCCAGGGTCATTTCCGAGTCAAGCACCGCGCCTGTGTGCGCGCCCACCCGCGGGCCCAAGAAGACCTGCGCGCGCCTGCCAGCGTGCCCGAACGGATTCGTGTGCGCCCTCTAGAATGCACACTCGCGACCACGCGAGCTAGCCGGCGACCTCGTGAGTGTCGCGGAGCCCAGCACTCGCGAGTGCCGACATGCCGCACTCGCGTCCCCTGTCATCGCTCACGATCTCGCGAGTTTTGACAAGGCCGCGCCCGCGCCCCGTGTCTAAGCCAGCGACATCGCGAGTGCCACCAGCTCGTGCCCGCATCCTGCCACATGTAGTTGCGCCCCACGTCCCAGCCAGCGACCACGCGCGTGCAGCGCCTGCCAGCCTCCGACCAGCGAGTCATTTTGCTACCACTTGAGTGAAATTTTAATTATGCATGTTTTATTGCGTGTTTTTTGCTAGTGGGTATAAATACATTTAGTCATTTGTATTTTGCGGACCAAGTTTTCATTTTCTAATTTTTCTTCTTTGGGAAAAGGTTTTCTCTTTTTATTTTCCTCTCTATTTTGGTTGGAGTCTATGGTTCGAATTTTCTGGCGAGATTCTGATGACTTTGTTTTATTGCAAGTTTCGAGCTTTTCATTCCGATTTCTTCACGCGTGCTTTAGGAGAGTGTGTACTTATTTTTAAGTCTCATTACTTCATATTTGTTCCATTTTTGCTTATGATGTTTTTCAAAGTAAATTTGGTATTTTACTTATTGAATGGAGGAAAGTTTGAAGTTTTCTATTTTCATTGCTTGTTGACGTGTGTTAGGAACTAATTTCGTACTCATCTTGTTTAAAGGTTGCAACTTTATTTAAAGCATAGTCATTTAGTTAGGAGGGCCCAATTTATTATCTAGGATCACTATGTTAGTGTGTTTTCTTACGGTTATATGCATTGTATCGAGTGATGGAGACTCCGTTCGACCAAATCCCCCCCTCTTCCCTTAACGCCCTCGTCTTGATATACATGATTTCAATTTTTGAATTGCAATTAGTGTTTAATCACCCCCCCCC